GTGGAAATTGTAAATACTGTATGCAGCATTAAATAAATAATTTTTAATAAATTTAAACATTGCAAAAAAGTGTTTGGGTGTTTTTTTTTGTTTTTTTTTTTTCTTGCAGTTTACAAATGGTTATAGGGCAAAATTCATGGTAATGATGTAGATCATTGTTAGGAAATGCCAGCCTATTCAGCAGAAAGTATATGGATTGCATGCAGAACAAGAGCCACGCTGATCTGGTACCACTTTACTGCTCCTCCTGTACAGTGCAGTGTACCCCATCAAACACCCCCCCCCCCCCGCCATTTTTGTGTGGATTGGACACACTTTGCCATAGACTTCCTGTGTCCTGTGGTTTTAGTGTGTTTTCTAAAAAACACACCTAAAAAATCCTGCATGCAGAACTTTTGGTTTCAGTAAGCGCGCAAATGCAGATTATAATGGAAGTCTATAGCAAAGTGTAGCTAATCGGCACCAAAACCCACGAGTACACTGTACTGCACCTGCAGTGCGCGAAAACTGCACCGCATAAGTGTGAAGGCACCCTTAAATAGAGTGACCAATAAAAATCTTATTAGGTCACAACTCTTGACAACCGCCACGTGGGGTAGCAAAAGGGTGAGTTTTAGCCCTGGTTCACACTGATGTTTCAGTGCGAATTCTGCACCGCATCAGAATCGCTCCCCGTTCATGCAAACCGCTGCGGGTGTGTGTGTTATGTTAACAACACCCCAAAAGCGGTCCACAAAACGCGGTGCGATGTGAAGAATCGGATCGCATAGGTGTGAATACCTATGCGATCCGATTCTACTGCAGACCCAAAAAAGGGTCCTCCACATTTTTGGTGTGGTGCGAATAGAGCCATACAAAATGTATGGCTCCAATTGCACCACACATAAATCGCATGTGATTTGTGCAGGAATGCGGTGCGGTTCCTGTGCGAATCAAAAGCGATATATGGAGCCGCACGTATGTAAACCCGGGCTTAATGCCCATATACCACTGGACTGCCGACCTTTTATGTGCTGAGATCGGGCTCACTGCGCGCTTCCCAGCACGAAGGCTGAGACAGCTCTTGGACTGGACTAAGGATTGGTAGCCAGTAAGACCGGCTTCTGATCATGTGACCAGAGATCCTAGGTACGGTCACTGGCCCTGTTCGCTATGATAAGTTGCTGGCAGCTGCAGCTATTCATGGCTCTGTGCACAGCCAGCAATTACCAGCGGTGATCGGCCACGTCATGCATATGTGTCGCTGGTCGGCTGATATTTCTGTGCTAAGAGTGCGCTCACAGAGACCGAGCTCGGAAAGCTCTTGATCCCTGCTAATAGTTGGTAGCTGATTGGACCAGTTCCCAATCATGTGACCGCTGTGACAGCCAGCAAGGGAGAATGTTACTAGCACACTGAGGATCACCAATATGGGTCCAAAAGTTTTAACCTCCCTAGCAGTATTCCTGAGTGTAGCTCGGGGTAAAGTTTCAGTACCAAAAGCGGTAACCCCGAGCTACTCTTGGGATTACCCTGCAGCGTTGCTCAGGGATTCCCTGCAGCGCTTACCTTGTCCTGCACTCCCGCGATGCGTCCCCTGCAGCGTCCCCGGCCATCTCCTCCAGCTGATGCCGGCATCTGGCTTCCGTGTTCCGGTCCCTGTGAGCGTCGGGACGTACGGGGGCCGGAACCGGCGGAAAATTTAAAAATTTAAAAAAAACGTCATTATCTAATAAACGAATATTATATAGTAAAACATTACTGTTTCAACGCATTTCACATACATTTTGTCCCGAGTGCTTTGTCCGGTGCCCTGCCTGCATTTTTACCGTTCTTTCTGCCTGGAAACTTAGAAAAGTCCATGGCGTCCAAAAAGTGTCCCTTTAGGTCAAAATCGGTTGTAGACCGGCTAGAGAACAGCGATAGTAAATCAGAACCACTTGCAGAATTGAGTGATAATGATTTGTGGGAAATTCATCATCAGACACTGAAAACGATTCTGCGACTTTGCTCAGTGATGTGCGAACTTGGCGCTATATTTCAAATCTCAGTGTTTTTGGTTTGATTATATTATTGAATTAAATTTATTATTATATTATTATTTTTTAATGATTATTTATTAAATTATAATTTATGATTTCATGTTTCAAGTTTTATCATATCCGGGATGTTTACTAGACTCTTGTTCGGACAGATTTCAGTGAGTTATTCCTAAAAATTACAGCCTACAATAAAAAAACAACATATTTCCATGCAAAAAAGTACCGCTTTCAGCACAGAAATATGGACATAATCAGACCGCTAGGGAGGTTAATAAACAATCACACAGTTACAGCAAGACAATGTTTCTGAGTCTTGCAGGACCCCTTCATCAGGCATGTGTTGTCCTGTGAGACTCCGAAACGTTGCACTTGCTGTAACTATATGATTGCTTATTAAAGCTTTGGACCCATAACTGGAGATCCCCGGTGTGCTGGTGATGTTCTTCTCATATGGAAAATATAGAGTACTAAAGTTCACTGTCATTTTGTCCGTATGTGCAAATTTAAAGCTTGACAGGTTGGGCATGCCACACGCCTGATGAAGGGGTCCTGTGAGACTCCGAAACAATGCCTTGCTATAACTATGTGATTGCTTATTAAAACGTTTGGACCCACATTGGTGATCCTCGGTGTGCTGGTGACATTCTCCCTTGCTGATTCTGTCTGGTTCCAACCGATGGTCGCTGCAGCGCCCACTTATACACACAGCCATTTTTATCGCGGGAACGTGTGCGTTTGGATTGTACACTTGCACTGTGACAGCCAATCACAGTGGTCACATGATCAACTGATCATTCCTGCCCCCTGGGCTTCAGAACTTTTTAAAGGGATGCCAGGGCGGCTGGAAAGGGGTAAAGCCAAAGCATTTGCATAACAGCCAGGCAGCTAGTATTGGAGAAGGAGGTCAGCAAAAACAATCAGTGTAACAAAAAAAAAAAAAATCTTCATCACCCCCCAAAAGTAGTACAGTGTCACCATGGTGACACTGTATTGCTAGGGTGACAGTATGTAAAAAAAATAAATAAATAAAATAAATAATATAAAAATGTAAAAAAATGTTTAAAAATTATAATTTTTGGTTATCAACTAATTTGGCTTATTTTTTGTTTTTATTAAAAAGATAATGGAATAAATTGTGGCCAAGATTTATGATGAAATATTATTTATCTGCAAAATTTTATAAGAAAAAACACCTTTTTTCAAAATTTTTAGACATTTTCATATGTTTCCTTTTATGCTGCCAATATGAGCCGCAATATCTCTCTGTAAACCTATGTACAACTAAAACCGCTGCATGTGGTTTGCGCCTTCACTTTCAGGTCAGAGAACCCTGCATTCCATGGCCTTGTTCTATATAGACAATAAACAGTGTATGGATGGGTTATGTAAACTGTGATGTGTCATTCCTCTCTTATCTGCTGTTCACATTGCTCAGCCTGACGTAGGCCAAGCTAGTAAGTGATCTATCCTGTGCCACCTGTTGCTGAGACCTTCCTGCACTACTTATATACTACATTTATTAATTTCAGGTACTTATATAGTGCTGTCAATTTATGCAGCACTTTACATATATATTGTACATTCACATCAGTCCCTAACCCTCAAGGGGTGTACAATCTAAGGTCCTTAACTCACATTCATACATACACATACTAGGGCCAATTTAGACAGGATCCAATTAACCTACCAGCATGTCTTTGGAGTGTGGGATGAAACCAGAGTACCCGGAGGAAACCCACACAGGCACAGGGAGAACATGCAAACTCCAGGCAGGAGGTGCCGTGGCTGGGATTCGAACCAACGACCCTAGTACTGCCAGGCGGAGGTGCTAACCATTTAGCCACTGTGCTGCCCACTACATTTAAAAACAGAAATGTATAACTTATTGCAAACTACAAAATTCCTCAGGACTTTGGCAAAAACAGGAATTCAGTGGACTGTGCTGACTAAGAGGGCATGTATGTCCTCAACTACACCATAAGGGCTTGTTCGCACTGACGGAGGCAGTAAAAACTTGCAGATGTACTGCGGATTTACTGCTCCCCCTTGAGCTGCAGAGGAAGCAGTCAGAGGTGTAAACATGACAGAAATTACAGGTGAAACTCAAAAACTTAGAATATTGTGCAAAAGTTCATTTATTTCAGTAATGAAACTTAAAAGGTGAAACTAATATATGAGATAGACTCATTACATGCAAAACAAGATAGTTCAAGCCGTGATTTGTCATCATTGTGATGATTATGGCTTACAGCTCATGAAAACCCCAAATCCACAATCTCAGAAAATGAGAATATTGGGAAAAGGTGCAATATTCTCGGCTCAAAGTGCCCCACTCTAATCAGCTAATTAAGCCATAACACCTGCAAAGGGTTCCTGAGCCTTTAACCACTTCAAGTCCGGACACTTTCACCCCCTTCCTGGCCAGGGCAATTTTCAGCTTTCAGCGCTATCACACTTTGAATGACAATTGCGCGGTCATGCAACACTGTACCCATAGGAATCTTTTACCATTTTTTTGAGACAGATAAAACTTTGTTTTGGTGGTGTTTATTCACCGCTGGGATTTTAATTTTTTTTGCTATGTAAATGAAAATGTCCAAAAAGTTTGAAAAAAGGTGTTTTTCTTATAAAATTTTGCAAATCAATAATATTTCATCATAAATCTTGGCCACAATTTATTCCGTTATCTTTTTAATAAAAACAAAAAATAAGCCAAATTAGTTTATAACCAAAAATTATCATTTTTAAACTTTTTTTTACATTTGATATAAAAGCAATCATTTCTCTTTCTCTCTGCATTCTTGCAGCCATTGTTAACTACTGAGTGAGCTGTGATTGGTCACAGCTTGTCACATGGTACAAGGCTGTTGTGAATAGCCTTGTACCATGTGACCTCTGTGATCATTCACAGATTTCACACGTAGTAAGCAATGATGTCACAAGTGACATCTTGCTTACTACTTTGCATGTGATCGGGACCTCGTACAGAGGTCCCATCCGACGATTGGTGTTTCACTGTGTCCGGAGGACACAGCGGGCACCGGATCGCGGTGCTGCTCGCTCCCGGGGAGCGCGCACAAGCAGGGTGCGGGGAGGCCATTTATAAACGGCCACCCGACCCTGCACTGCAATTCGCTATATGAATTGAAGTAGTCACGGAGTGTTCGCTATATGAATAGAAGTAGTCACGGAGTGCTCGCTATATGAACTGAAGTGGTCACGGAGTGCTCGCTATATGAACTGAAGTGGTCACGGAGTGCTTGCTATATGAACTGAAGTAGTCACGGAGTGCTCGCTATACGAACTGAAGTGGTCACGGAGGGCTCGCTATATGAACTGAAGTAGTCACGGAGTGCTCGCTATACGAACTGAAGTGGCCATGGAGTGCTCGCTATATGAACTGAAGTAGTCACGGAGTGCTCGCTATACGAACTGAAGTGGTCACGGAGGGCTCGCTATATGAACTGAAGTAGTCACGGAGTGCTCGCTATACGAACTGAAGTGGCCATGGAGTGCTCGCTATATGAACTGAAGTAGCCACGGAGTGCTCGCTATATGAATTGAAGTAGTCACGGAGTGCTCGCTATATGAACTGAAGTAGTCACGGAGGGCTCGCTATACGAACTGAAGTAGTCACGGAGTGCTCGCTATATGAACTGAAGTAGTCACGGAGTGCTCGCTATACGAACTGAAGTAGTCACGGAGTGCTCGCTATATGAATTGAAGTAGTCACGGAGTGCTCGCTATACGAACTGAAGTAGCCACGGAGTGCTCGCTATATGAATTGAAGTAGTCACGGAGGGCTCGCTATACGAATTGAAGTAGTCACGGAGTGACGCTATACAAACTGAAGTAGTCACGGAGTGCTCGCTATATGAATTGAAGTAGTCACGGAGTGCTCGCTATACGAACTGAAGTAGTCACGGAGTGCTTGCTATATGAATTGAAGTAGTCACGGAGTGCTCGCTATACGAACTGAAGTAGCAACGGAGTGCTCGCTATATGAATTGAAGTAGTCACGGAGGGCTCCCTATATGAATTGAAGTAGTCACGGAGTGCTCGTTATATGAACTGAAGTAGTCACGGAGTGCTTGCTGTATGAATTGAAGTAGCCACGGAGTGCTCGCTATATTATTATTATACAGTATTTATAAAGCGCCAGTAGTTCGCTCAGCGCTGTACATTACAAAGGGGGACAGAACATGTGACAGAACAATACCAATACAATGTAAAACATGAGGGGATCGAGGGCCCTGATCTTTCGAGCTTACAATCTAGGAGGGAGGGGATGGTGGCACAGGAGGAGATAGCTGTGGGGGATGGAGTGGTAGGAAGAGTGGAGGAGGTCAGCAGGTTAGCAGGGGGTGGGGTAGGCTTCCCTGAAGAGATGGGTTTTCAGGGTGCGCCTAAAGGAGAGGAGAGTAGGTGATAATCTGTTGGGTTGGGGCAGGGAGTTCCAGAGGATGGGTGACCCACTGGAGATGTCCTGGAGGCGGGCATGGGAGGAGGAGACCAGGGAACTAGAGAGAAGGAGGTCTTGTGAGGAGCGAAGTGTGCGTTTTGGGTGGTACTTGGATATTAGGTCAGTGATGTAGTTCGGGGCAGTGTGGTGGACAGCTTTGTACGTCAGTGTTAGGATTTTGAATTTGATCCGTTGCGCAATCGCAAGCCAGTGGAGGGATTGGCAGAGGGGGGTGGCGGAGATGGAGCGGTTGGAAAGGTGAATGAGTCTGGCAGCCGTATTCAGGATGGACTGAAGCGGGGATAGCCAGCGGCGAGGCAGGCCAGTGAGGAGGGAGTTGCAGTAGTCGAGTCGTGATATGATGAGGGAGTGGATGAGCTGTTTAGTGGTTTCTGGGGTTAGGAACGTGCGGATTTTGGCGATGTTGCGGAGGTGGAGTCTGCACGAGTTTGTTAAAGATTGGACTTGGGGCTGGAAGGATAGGTTGGAGTCCAGAATGACACCATGTACTCTGGCCTGCGGGGCGGGTTTGATGGTGGCGTTGTTGGACATGATGGAGAAGTCAATGGGGGGTGGAGTCCGGGCTGGGGGGGAAGACAAGAAACTCGGTTTTGGAGAGGTTCAGTTTAAGGAAGTGGAGCGACATCCAGTCAGATATGTCGCTCAGTAGGTGTGTGATTCGGGCAGAGACTGAGGGGGTGAGGTGGGGGGCTGAGAGATAGATTTGTGTGTCGTCGGCATATAGGTGGTAGTTGAAGCCGTGAGAGTGTATGAGTTGGCCAAGGGAGGAGGTGTAGATGGAGAAGAGAAGGAGCCCGAGGACAGAGCCTTGAGGGAATAGAAGTAGTCACGGAGTGCTCGCTATATGAATTGAAGTGTTCACTTTAACATCTGATTTGCTTCACATTTTACTTTAGTTGATGATTGTTGTTTTATAATTTTTGGATATATTTATATTTTATTTATTTTTTAGTTTTGGTTTTCTGGCATGATTCACAAGAAATCAGTTGTATTGGTCTTGATTTTTGTGCACGTATTCATTAATTGCACTTATCCTGAAATTTGTTATTTAGGAGGTAATACACTATATAAGTATTTTTTTTTTTTCGAAGTATCACGAGGATTGAAATAGGAATTGGAATCCTTCTTACTGGACATATTGGATTTTGGACGATTTTTATTTATTTTTTATCTATTTATTTTTAGTAATATTTTATTAGGTGGTTAGGAAGTACTTAGATTACTCACTTGGTTTTGGTGAGTTAGGTGTAAGAAAGGTTTTACCATATCAAGTGGTTAATAACGCTTTAAAGGGCCTTAGCTTGTCCCATCCTAGCAACGTCCCTGAAGTTTTTCAGTCAGGCTTCAAGAGGTACATACATGGCCTACCTGGAGATCCCGCCAAATCCCAGAACTTCCTGTTGTAGACTGACCACAACCACTGCTAATTGAGGCAATGACTGAGCGTTGTCAGGCTGCAACAGGAAACTTTGTAATACATTCACAGTGCGGAGTTGGGGTTTCTATGAACACTTTATTGGCACAGTATTGTATATGTGTGTAAAGGCAGCTCTGTATAGCAGAATGATTTGCATTTCACTGAGTCCTATGACTTTGTGGTAGCAGCCATTGTCATTACCATTCCCCATCCTGTGTCTGCACAGCTGCCAACCTGACCTGACCCACCACCATGGCACACACATATGTCACTCCCCATTCAATCCTTCCCTGTCTGCACGCTCCTCCACACAGTTTGTTTCCTGTCAGGAAACAGTCTCCACCCACCGCCCACGCATTTTTTCCAATCCCTGTCCTTGTTTTGCTATTTTCTGCTCTCCCATTGGCTCAGCCCGGCGCCACTCAAAGCTCTCCTTTCCCGCCCTCCCCATTCGAACGCTTTCTCAGCCAATAGTGCGCCTCCCGCATCGCCGCCAGCCAATGGCGAGTCGCCGGTGACGCGAGCCCCAGGTTTCGCGGCAAAAAAGGAATTGGCGCGTAAATGGGCGAGCGCTGGGGGATCCGGGGATCAGCTGGAGAGGGGAAAACAATAGCGATCCCGGGACAGGAGCTCGGGCACCGGGGGGCTCTACCGTCATCCCGCCGAGGAAAGGGATTCCCTCATTGATTCTTTTTTTTAATCCGGAGAGCCTCATGGAATCTGGACTAAAGTTGCTGCAACTTTTCACAACAAATCCTGCTTGTGTCCATTTTAGCCTGCCGTCAGTGCAGCCCCCTCTCTGCAGGCTGACTTTGACTTTTAGCACTTCGAGAGCTCACATCACCCAGACAGAAGACTGACCTTCAATTGGACTCTCAGGACCTGGTATGCATGTTTATTGGCCAGCAGGACAGCCCTGAGGTTTTCATGCCATCCTCTACTGCGGATCTGCAGCACTGAAGGAGGGTTTTGGGGTTTTTTTTCCAATCATTTTGAACTTTATTTCAAAAAGACATTTTAATCTTTTGCAAGCATCATATTCCCATTATTGCAAGGTCTTTTTTTTTTTTTCAACAAAAAGTTACAACTTTTTTACTTTTTTTTTTTTTTTTGTAAATTTGCATTTTTTAATGCATACTTCATCAGTATTAGATGTGTGCTGCACATTGCATTAGAACCGGGATTGATTCACCTTTTAGAATTCCATTGCAATTTGGAATGATTCAAATGCAGATTTTTGTTTTGATGCCATTTTTTTGATCTATGCATTGTTTAGATCTACATTGCCTTGTTTTGGACTGACTTTGCATTTCGGATGAGTGCCTGCCCTTTGCATTGTTTCAGATTTATGCTGCACCCTTTTGAATTGTTGCTTCATTGCATTTTTTTGATTGCCTCTGCATCATTTTTTGGATGGGTGGAACACCAATGCTCTGCTTCGGATTATTGCTGCATCCCTTATTGGATTGACGCTGCATCGTTTTTTGGATGGGTGTTGCATTGTTTTGGACTGCGGCTGCACCAGTGCATTGCTTCGGATTGATGCTTCATCCCTTTTTTGGAGTAAATGCTGCATCAGTGCATTGCTTTGGATTGGGACTGGACCATTGGATGTTTTTGAATTGATGCGGCACTATTTGTGGAAAGAAGCTGCAATATTGCGTTTTCGATCTCTGCATCCCTTTTTCGATGGACCCTGCACCAGGCATTAATTTGGATTGACGCTGCACAGTTTTCGGATGGACGCTGCACAGCTGCATTGTTTTGGACTGCCGCTGCACCAGTGCATTGCTTTGGATTGATGCTGCATCCCTTTTTTGGATTGACCCCCCCTGCACCACTGCATTGCTTTAGATTGGGACTGGATCATCGCATGTTTTTGGATTGATGCTGCACCATTGTTTTGGGAGGATGTTGAACTGTTTTAAAGCTCCAATATTGCATTGTTTAGGATTGAAGCTCCAATATTACATTGCTTCGGATTGATGCTGCATCCCATTTTGTGGATTGATCCCTGTATCCGTGCATTGCTTTAAATTGGAGCTGCACACATTTTTGGAAGGACCCTGCACAGATACATTGTTTTGAATTGCTGCTGCTCCCAATGCATTTCTTTGGATTGATTCTGCATCCCTTTTGAGTTGGTGCTGTACCAGTGCATTGTTTTGGATTTATGTTGCACCACTGCAGTATTTTAATTTGACGC